TGGAAGACACATTGCTAGGGCCACTTCTGTTTCACTGCTGTGTTTCCGCTTCAGATGCCGTGCCATTTACTTTGTGGTTTTTTGCAGTATACACAGTAATGACGCTTGTGGCAGGTTTCACTGTAACCACTGTCCTACCCTCATCCTCATTGTCGCCACTGTCATCAGGATTCCCATCATTGCTGTTTGTGTTGCAGGGGTCTTCTTCAGATGATGGGATATATTCACTTTCCAGGTCAGGAATGGATTCTGACAGAGAGTCATCTGTGGCACAGTCCTCCTGAAAGAACAAGCAGATTAGAATAGTAGTTATTCAAATAATGAACCTATAAAGTTTTGCAGTTGGGCTGCATTGCTGTAGCCCACAACAAAATAAAAAGCATAAATATATACATACCAACTCCTCTTGTGCCTTCCTTTTTCTGTTCGTCATCTGTAAAGTTCAGAGTAAATGTCTGTAAAGTTCAGAGTAAATTTGAAACATATTGACAATGTTACAGAAAAACCGTTACAAATAAAGCAAACATCAGCTTTATTTTCCTGCATAAAGTTGGCACATCTTCAAAGACAATTTAAATTGCTTCTTTAAATAGAGGCTCACAAGTTAAAGCTAACATTAGCTTAATAGCTTCACAAATACTAACGCTGGAGAATGAACCAGAGGACTAAACCAGAAACAACTAACTAGTTTCATAAATCTTACCTGGACAATTTGCAGTTTTCTTTCATCATCTAATTCATCTTTCACGGTTCTCTCCTCGTCGTATCTCTCAGCACACCGATTGTGGTGCTACCGCAGTCTCCGCAGTGTTGAGGCATGTATTTATTCCAACATTAGTTGAAGGTGAGCCTCAAGCTCCAGGTGATATAAATATTGTTTGATTCCCGCCCAAACAAAACAAAAATTAACTGCAATTTTGATCTAAACACCACTCATTTTATTTTTCAGGTTTGCAAACCCAAGTTAAATGAAATCAGGTGTGATTGATCCAATTTCCAAAAATAAGATTGTTTCTTACTATAAAATTCTTTATTCAGTCTGTAGTTTCTTTAAATTATATTATTTAAATATGCTTATATGTTTGTGTGAGGTATTCAGTATTTGTTTTTGTTTAGTTTTTTTACACACACAAAAATACATTTTCTTTTTCACCTTTTCTGATAGAACAAAATTAAATCTATACAAATATATACATCAATCAGCGCATCAACATTGAGTTTCCAAGTTGTTTCAAGTAAAAATGAATATTTCTCTTCTCTAGTTGCCTGAAATTAAAATATTTAAAGCATGAAATAAAGTATTGGTTTATAAAGCACATTAAACATTTATTAAGAAATACAGAACTACAGTTTATGTACAAACGTAGTAATCACGATATAAAATACAGAACAATTTGCTGCCATAAAAACAAAAGGTGCATTAAAATTAATACTGATATTAATACAATCCATCAGTCTTTGAGCCCAATGCCCCCAGCACACTGTAACTCAAAGTAAAATTTGTCCTCTTACAGCTTCCGTACCCACAGCAGGACAGTCACTGGTCCTTGTTCAGATTCGGTTCAGTTTGTTCCGAGTCATCTGAAGCAGCAGTTCTGAGTATTTCTCCAGCAGAGCTGCCGTCCTGCTGTCCTCTAGTTGACCAGTGGGGGCGCTGCTGCCCCGCCCAGCTCCCTGCAACACTACCTGTAGCTCTGAGTGAACATCATCAAATGCCTCCAGCAGTGTGCACGACATCTTAACATCGAGCTGCAAGAGAAAGTTAGAAAACATGTTTTTAAAGGACCAGAAAAAATGACAAGTGACTGGATAAAAAACACGAGGTTTAAAGAAAAAGGTAATAATGCTGTGAGGAAAATTGACACTAAAATGTGCCAAATAATTCAAATGCTGTTAAAATATAATTTTCATAGAGTACTAATTTTAAACTCAAACCATCTGTAATTGTCTTATATAATCAAATTGTAAAAGAAAACTTTACACTATTTAATGAAAAGGTTGCAATGGAAAAAAAAATGGAGAAAAATTAAAAGAAAATGTTTAAACACTTTCAGATAAAGTAATATTTAGAGGAAAAGCTTTAAGTCAGAATACACAGAAAAAGATTTGATAATTTGAAAAAAAGCAACATATAAAGAAAAAAGACATTTAAAAAAGCAGAAACATTTCATAGTGGCAGATACAAAGATCTAACAGATTCAAACTGATTTACTCAAGCACATGGTCAGTACTGAACCTGTTGATAGAGGCAAATGGCTCGTCTCGCTGTCTGCCTGAGCTCGGTGGCGACTTGCTGACACTGCAGCAGACTGACCAAGTCTTCGCCGCTACCTGAACCAGCAACAACAAACATCGAAATGGTTCATCTCTGAACATGTGCATCATTTACGCTGCATCACAAACCAAGTGTACCACAAATCCCATTTATTCCTCATAAGACAATATCCACCATAACTCAGAACAGTGATTAAAACGCCAAGTTGAGGAACACTTGTGACAGTCCCAGAGGTGATTTAAATCTAAATGGTTCACTCTCTGAAGAGCAGGAACAGGATCAGGAACATTCATCTGATCAGATATCAAGTGCTACTGCCTGTGCTCGACAGATCGACGTCCCTGTGAAAACCAGCATGAGGGGGCGGGATTACCTGTCTTGCAGGGACGGAATCTTTCTGACAGAGGAGAGGAGGAAGAGGAGGGCAGCACACAGGGTGAACCAGCTGCTAAAGCTGAGCCTGATACTGTGAACAAAGGGAGATAGACAGACGGATAAAGACAAATGGATTCAGAAACAACTGCACACCAGACTCCTTACGAACATTAACATGCTGCAGAACAAGATGACAAGCCATAACCAACCCACCATCATGTTTAGAGATGCTGAGTGGATCAGTCTGGACTCCAGTCTGGGATCCTCCTGGACTCTCCTCGCACCTTGAAGTGGAGCAGATAATGTCAGAAGTGACACTGGTGACGTTACAGGTGGTCGGTGTGGTTGTAAGGGTGGCAGAGGGGGCGGGGCTCAGGATTAGTGATGGACTTTGATTTGTCAATGTCTCTTCAAAGCTGCTGACACTCCTCCCCATGGCCCCGCCCCATGACAGCACATTGGTGGGTGTGGCCAACACCTGAGGGCTGGCTGCAGGTACATGACTCTGACACGAAAGACCAACACTGATGAAATCAAAGAACACGGGACACGAAAACAGAGGATGAAATCATACAAGGAGATGTTCAACACATTTAAATGCCACAATTTTCAAAATATTCCTATTAGGCTCTTTTCACGAAACTCTACGTCTGTCAAAATGTTTGTCACATCTTCACAACTTTTCCCTCTAAATTTATTAATAAAAAAAAAGTCTTGCATTACTTTTAAAATTGTGCTGTTTTCATGTCATTACTTTTCTCAAGATATCACAACTGTGTGTGTCTATATCTTTATAAATAAAGTTTATTATTATTATTATCTCCAACTAGCTCTAAATCTCTGTTCTTCTGAAAATGCTGTCAAGATGTTATGACCTCTTTTCAGATTATTGGGACTATATTCCCAAAATATCAGGATTTTATTCTCCAAATATTATCCTGCATTAGACCGACTTAGTTTGAGACGGGTTCCTAAAAACCTGTCCACTGAGTGTGTATTTGTTAATACTGTTCAATCAAAATAAACTTGAAAAGACAAAAATCGATCTGCAGTGGGACGAGGTAATACCTGCTGGTCTGGTCCTGATGACTGTCACATTTGGTGCTGTGGAGCTCCTGCCCAGCAGACATCATGGGTGCAGGGAGCTGGGTGTCTGGGGAGGAGCACACGTTCTCCTTATCCGCCTCCTGGGTGGAGGTGAACGAGTGGGAGGTGGGAGGGTCCTGGCTCAGTTTGGCCCTGGAACTGGCTGTGGTCGCCAGGTATCTGAGCCGCGGCGCGTCCTGCTGGACTCCACATGCTGCACCGGTGTTGTGGGCCGCCACAGTCCTGTCTGGTTAGAGGAGGAGGAGGTCAGACGGGTACTGTGTTTGAATTCTTACCAAGTCTCTCTGTGACATGGATGTTAAACCTGAGTGAGTGTGAACAGAGACGGTGGACAACAGCATTGCATCCAGGAAACAAACATTTTCTATTAACATGCAGCACTTTGGGATCTCCACCACTTACTTAGTTTTGTGCTTAGGTCACTCTACAGGTAAAAAGTGGCCCCGTGTCAGACGGCTGAAGCCGCTTCAGGTTTCAGAAGAGACAGCTTCAAATACACAACTGTTTCCTGACATATCAAAAAAAGTTGTCACATGTCATTTTGCTGATGTTGTGAAGGTGGATTCAGGCTTCGTTCCACACCATCACCTTTCCTGAGGCCTTCTTGATGTTACCTTGTTTACCAAGGTAACTTGGTAAACTCTTTTCTGAACCTATATATAGTATATTAATAAGCTTTATGAATTCAGCCTTAGGGGGCCTTATTGACGATTATTTTACACATTTCAAACCTTTTCCTGCTTTCATACAGTTTTAATGTGATACGCTGGTCGAAGCTGTGTGACGCTCTCACTCTAGTGGCTTTGAGTAGACCGAGTTTAATGAGAGAGCAGCCTCTGACACACTGGCACGATTCTCTGTCAGTATATAAGCTCAGACTCGATCGCGCATGGACAGGGTGCTATCAGAAACAATTGTCCTCGGGGAAATCAACAATCATGAACAAGAGCGGCCCAATTAAACTAATTGTTTCTTTAACATAGGACGATTGGCACAGATGATGGACAGACATCCTCCTTTCCTTGTTTAGTGTGCAAACATCACTGTTGCCAGAAACATTTGTTCATTGATAAATAATTTAACTGAACAAGTGCTGCTTGTCTTTTTAAATTTCAGACTGAAACACGAACAAGAATGATTTTTGCATTTGAAAATTTGGTGTCCTTGTCCACTAAACAGAGGGTGAGCTGTTAATTTATCGTTATTTGTTTCAGAATCACCTGCGGGTGTCCAGACATTACCCTGGAAACTAAAAACTAAAGTATAAAGTACTTCCAGTGCCCGTGTGAACCCTGCAGTTACCCCAAACACAGAAGTGAAGGGACAGAGGACAGGTTGACCTTTGACCACAAAACGTTAAAACCTTGTGACTTTTGCCAGAGTGAGAAACACCGCCCCACCCAAAAAAAACCAACACAAAAACAGTTGGATGTCCACACACACACACACACACACCTCCCAGCGTCTCTCTGCACTGGATGAACACAGTGTGTCGTCTGCGTATTCGGCGGAGAGGGGGCTGATGAGAACTCATGCAGGAAGCCCTTCTGCAAAGGACTGATTGGTGACACCTCGCTGCGGTTACACACAACACACTCTTATCATTGCACTGCCAGTTCTTAAAATACAGCAGTAATTTAAAGGAAAAGTCCAACACTGAGGATGTGTGCAGTCCCACTGAACTCTAACCAGGCATTTGGTATAAAAGAATAAAATGAGATTGTCACAATAAAGCTACAGCAAATGTTTGTGTGCTTGTTTGGATCTCGAGTGATCTGAGGTTTCCAGGCAATCAAGTTTAGAAGAAAATCAACTGTCAACATATAAATATCGTCTGATCTAAATGTGTGAACCGTTTCCTGTTGAACCAGTCCGGCTGCTTTGACTGGTACCAGTCTGAACTTCCTGTGAAGCTCTCTGAAGGTGAATTTTGTTTACACAACAAACCAAAATCTCAATGGGAACCCTGGGAAATTATTCAGATTAATCTTTTAATTGAGAAAATAATCACTAGACTAATCAACAATGGAAATCATGTACTGTAGCTGCAACATTTTTTATTCATAAAAATATGGATTTGATCTGATTTATTAGTTCTTGGTGTTCAGATCCTTAGTTTTTTCCTCATTACCATTCACACTGGCAGGTCAGCAATATCCGAAACATCAGCGGCTCCACAGCCAATTTATTTTTAGCAAATAAATCAATGACGAGAAAAAAAGTGTCCTGTTTGTCTCTTTCATACTTCTTGTCAAAGTGATCAATGAAATTATAGAATATTATTCGTGCATTTTGAAGTATAATCCTCCTCACTTTGTAACAATTAAGATTTTGACATCAATGAAAAAAAATGTTGACTGGAACAGACGTGAGGTCCCTGACCTTGACCTTTGAACATCTTGAGTCCAAGTGGGCATTTGTGCCAAATGGTAAGAAATCCCCTTAACTGGTGAAACACACAAGTGATTTCTACACCCGTCTCACGCTGCATATAGAACTATATTATGTCAAATGAGTCAATCCACACTGAATCCGTGAGACGTGCATTTCTCGTAGAACCCTCGCAGGTTTTTAAGCTTCATGTCTATTTTTTTTCCCCTCTGCTGTGTTTAGTGAAGCGTCATCTCCACAGTCTGCTGTTTAAAATCACACAAATCATGTTTTCTGTTCCTACCGGTATGTCTTACGACCAATCAAGCTGCCCGAGTGACACTTTCTCCCTGTGGCGTTCATGCTTCTTTATCATTCTAAGTGTCAGAATGGTTTAAATGTGATTTCTGATTTTCAGCCAGGACTTCACATGGAACAAGATTTATGTTCAGGTGCGAGGTGACGTGTGTTTGTCTGCAACACATGACCATGTGTGCTGATCACTGGTTTTCTTTACTTCTGCCAGTCATTAGAAACTTTGCTGACTCACCTCCACCGCTGCCGAGTTCTTTCTGAGTCGACTCTGATGAGGCGACTTTGCTGCTCGATTCCGAGTTCACCTGAAAACAAACAAGTCATCAATCGTCTAATAAAGTTTCTGTAACTTCTTATACAAACTTTAAAAGTATTACCATCACGTTTCCAGTGTGTTTACTGTGCGTCGGGTGTGTTTGCATACCGATGTGCTGCTGACATTGTTCTCCTCTGAGATCCTGGTCGGGATGGACACAGGAGGCGGAGCTCGGCTCGGCCATGCCCTAAAAACACAGCAGGAAATAGCAGTTATCGGCATGACAACAGTCACCAGCTGAACTCAATGGCCCCTCCAGGTCAAAGGTCACAGCCTCAGTTCTGTGTACTGACCTGAGTTTGTCCTGGAAGCGGGAAAGGAAGCGGGTGGAGATGCTGAGTCGAGGGTTCAGGAAGTGCTTGCCCTCCTGAGGCTGCAGAGTCCGCAGGTCAGTGTCAAACCTTTCTGAAAGGTCAAAGGTCACAAACACTTCAGCTGGTCTTCCAAGATGTCAGCTTAAAAAAAAAAAATCTAAGAATTGACTGATACATGTTCTTCGGTGAATTATAAGTGCCAAACTATTGCAGCGTGAACACCTTACACCTTGCGGCTATGCTGGTGATTTGGTTCATACCTTCTGTCAGACTGGAGGCCAGCGTATCGAAGTGGGTCTTCAGGGAGTTTCTGTCCTCGTCGTCCTCCAGGCACAAACTGCCCACAGAGCTGCCCTGACTCAGAGAGTCTGTGTCTGATATGAGAGAGAGGGTTTAGGGGCACATACAACTACTCTCATAAAACAATAAAAAAAAAAAATTTTCATCATGTGTGGCGAGTTAAGGGACTTTCAGAGATGCCCCGCGCTTTATGTCACTGTCCTGGCAGTTTAACACGGTGGTCTCCTGTGAATAAACATCTGATACCAGTGTGATGAGGCTAAGAGTGTGTAGCAGCACCAGGTGAAGCATACAGAGATCACACGCCTCTCGTTGGGGAGACTCTCAGATCAGTTTATAGACACAGTCGAGGATGTGAGAGCAGGAAACGTCTTTCCATAAAGTCCCGACTCCTAACATATGGACATGTTATTTAGAAATAAAGCAGCTGCTGGAAACCTGTGAATGACGGTTGGAGGTGAATTTGTATGTGACACACAAACTGCATATGTCACCTTAGATTTTACTTCTCATGTGATTGGACTTATGTCATCTTATGCATAAATTAATAAACTGTCTTGACAGAAAGTGTCACTTATGTCACGTCTGAACGGGGCTGTAGGTGCTGATATGAGGGCTGACCTGCGTCCTGCTGCTGCTCCAGACTTCCCCTCAGAGCAGGCAGAGTCTGGACTCAGCTGAACGCTCCACACCGGTTCCGCCCCTTGACCTCCGACCTCAAGCTGGGTCAGAGACCGCCGAGGGTCCATCACAGCCTCAACATCAAACTCCCTGAAAACACAAATGCAGGACTGAGTGATGTCACCCACAGACAGAGGAATATTGGCTTATTACTGTCATATCTGATTCTGGGGCAACGTTCCGAACGTGCTGACCTGACGAGCATCTCACCTGTCAGCGGTGGGGTCGATGCTGGGGGGGAGGATGTAGCTGCTCCTGTCCTCACCTGCACTCTGCAGCATCACACAGACAGAGTGAAAGGGGGAATGGATTCACAAAGGCCACAAACTGACGTCTGTGCTAACGCTACACTGACACAAGGAAAGCCATGGGAGAACAGTGCAGGCGATGCACACGCTGGAGTTCATCTTCAAAAAGATGAAGCTCAGCTTCTTCATACAGCCAAATATCAGGGAGGGGGGAGGTTTATTAAGTATGATTTATATTTTTTTCATCGTGTTCACCTCTTTCTCCTCCTCCTCTTCCTCTCCCTCCTCCTCCTCTTCCTCTCCCAGCACACTCTCCAGACTCTGAGGGTGGAAGTCTCCCCCCTCCTCCTCCTCCTGACTCTTGGTGGGACTCGGGGAGAAGTTGGAGCAAATGGTCAGAGGGTTCAGCTGCTCTGTCCACCGACTTCGCACCTGACGAGGCTCTGCATCCGATTGGACGGTAGAGGAGACCCTGTCCTCACCTTGCTGAACACACAATACACACCTGAGCTTCATCATCCTAAAAAAATAATCAACCACTGGCTGTGTGAAGGAAGAAAGTCTATCCACAAACTGACCTGTGAACTGAACAAGTATTTTGACTGAGCTGTACTATACAGATGTTGAGTTTAACAGTAAACATCAGACTGACCAGCTTTCTGAACCACATGGGCAGCTTTCCGTTGGTCTGAAGCAGCTGAGCATCTGCAACACAAACAACAACATGACTCAAACAAACTCTTTTCACCAGCTAACAAACAAGAAGAACCAGCTGTTGCCGTGTCCACAGTGAAACCAGGGGGCTCACATCCACACTGGCCACGATGACGCAGAGACACAACCACCCAGAGTGGTAAAGATGTCTCTCTTTCTAACACCAGGTTTTCGGTTTGGATCCATCACACCTGGTCAAAACGCAGCAGTTCTGTGTAAGAATGTCTACACAATTCACGGGAACTCAGGAGCTTCATTCATTCAGTCACACATTTATAAAACTAAAAGGTCAGATGGAGAACATGAAGAGCACATGCCGACTGATCAGGTGCATCAGCCAGTACTTAGCTAGAGGTATCCTGAGCCAGTCCGTGCAAATGGTATTGAATCACAGCAGCAAAAATAAAGCAGATTAAAGATCAAACTGCATCACAGCAATGTATGTGCAGCAGTTAATACAGTGTGACCAACTGTGCTGCTGACGTTTGAGCTTGTCTGCTCGTCTTCATCGTTGTTTTTAATGGCAAGACAAAGGCAGACCCCCTGCCACTGTGGAACAGTCAAGTCCTGTTCAGTCCGATTCTTTCTCTGCTGTGTTTTGTCCACCTCGGTCAGCTGATGCTGCTCCGCTAATGAGTAAGCTGACGACAGGCCATGCTGCTCCGCTAATGAGTAAGCTGACAACAGGCCGAAGATCATCTGTGAGGTAAGAAGCTCCACTCTGTCACACCATTGTTTAACCAGAGCGGACTGAGTGTTTCCAACAGAGTGAGATGTCTTTTCTCTGCAGGATCCCATCACATCACAGTCTCCAGTTAAACCTTCACTCACATCAGATCAATAATTTAAGCTGATCAGCTTGATCAGATAGTGAATTTAATGGCCGAAGCTTTTCCTGCAGGTCATTCACGTACATATTGAACCAAGATTTAAAAGCTGAGATTGGGTTCTGTATCTGGACATGATCAATATAAAACTGCTGACAAATCTTGGGTGACATCACCACAGATGCTGAAACCTTTTTAATGATAATCCATCAGGTTTCACCAAAAAGCACTGTATCAAAGCTTAGCTTTTCTTTGTCTCTTATCACTCTAAAGTGAACATTTTGGGACTTCTGGTCAAACGAAACATTTGAGGAAGCTGCAACAGGCATTTTTTAGATTTTACTTAATAAATTATTCAGTGAATTAACAAAATGACAGGCAGTCTGATCGATAATGAAGAGAAGTGTTAGCTGCAGCCCTAATCACTGTACTTAGCCTGGCAGTGTTTAATTCAGTGGACAGAAACAATACAACCTGAAGTCACTGCCCAGATCATCACAGACCTCGTGTTCAGGTGGTTTAACGGAAGCACACGAGAAAAAAAAAAAACCCTGACCCAGTCCTGCTCACCGGGTGCAGAGTCCAGTCTGGCAGGAGTCCTGAGCTCAGGCTCTTCCTCCTCCTCCTCCTGCTGCTGCTGCTGATGTATCTGAGAGGAGGGAACAGTGATGAAGGTCTCCCGCCTGAAACAACCACACAACCAAGTTCAGTTTGACCACAGAAACAAACAGAATGTCTGTGTTTTCCAGGACTGACTGGTTTTTATTTCACAACACCTTCCTCCTCTCACCCACCTGATGTTTGGCTGTTTGTGGCTGCAGGTTTCAGGGGCAGCTTTCAGTCTGAGACCCCACCTCCTTCTCATGGTGCTGGTCATCTGCGAGTCCAGTCTCCACACAAACACACAACTACACACACAGCAACATACAGAGTTAAAAACACTGACTCTGAAGAACTGATCTACAGCAGCTGAGTCTCCAGTCGGTGATTTTACTTGTTATTTTGCACAAATCCCATCCAGAGACCAACAGCAACAATGAATCTGGTGTATTCACTGTAATGTGTGAAGCGGAAACCGAGTAAAGAAAGATATTTTTATAAAAGTTTTTGCGACTGAACATAAGCTCAGACATCATCAGCGTCAGGGCTCTTTATTTTGTAGCTTAGTTGATTTAACTCTGTTTTATGCAGGTTGTTCTGCTAATCAGCAAAATGCAAACGGCTCCAACACGTTGTTCAGTGAGAAGCTGGTGGAGCAGCACGACTAGAGCGGACACCAGTGACTCTGTGCACAGGAACACCGTTCTCAGCCTGTGGAGTCGTGTGTTGGAACCAGACGGCCTCCCGTGTTTCCTGAGGACGAAACCTGCTCCCCAGTGCAGCGGTGTGGCTCACTGGGGGGGGGGGTCTAATAGCTGGTGGACAACAGTGGAGGTCTATGGCACAGAGCGATGAGCTGGACCAGGGTGTGGACTCAGATTACGGCAAGGACACCACCTTCACTGGTGCTGCTGGTCTCTGGACGGGGTTTGTGGGGAATCACAGTTTACCCGTCTCCTGCGACGGTGATGAGGTGTCTGCAGTCCTGACTGAACCTCATGCAGGTGACGATCTCTGAGGAAACACAGACAAGCAGGTAAAGAGACAAACACCTGACATTTAATCATCTGTAGCTACAAATAAACCTGAATCAAACCACAGCATAAAATCAAGCTGCTAGTTAAAAAACAAATGATCCAAGCCTGTTCAATGCCCTCCACAGAGCACGCCCCTGCAGGTGAGCTGGATTTACTTACCTGAATGTCCAAACAAGGTGGCGACACACTCCCCCGACTCATAGTCAAAGATGGCAATGTTTTTATCAGAGCAGCTGGTGGCAAAGAAACTGCCTGACGGGTCCATCTGAACCTGCAGACAACTCACGGTATGACATGCTCCTATTTGATCACACATTTCTATTTTTATTTACTGTTGCCTTATAAAAGCACACAGAGCCTCTGTACTGGAGTCAAAGTCCTTGTGCCTAAACATACTTGGTCAATAAAGCTCTGATTCTGTTCTGACAGCAGCCACGTCAAACCAAAACTTCATCCATTACCGTCTTTGTCAAGATCACATTTTAACGACATATCACATGGCAAAGCAGCAACAGCCCAGCCTCAAACAGAATCATAATGATGTGCACTGAAATCAAGGCTGCCCTTCTACAAGCATGCCATAGCAAAGATTTCTTGCTTCAGGTTGTGTCATATAATAAATAAATAAATAAATGTATTCTTATTTTTACGTTCTCTTCTTTTTAACTTTGCCCATAACACTGTATTTCACTACATACTTACTTTGAGCAGTGCACCGTCGTCACTGGACGAGCCTTTCAAACACTTCTTCAGCTTCCCAGTTTCTACGTTGTACACCCTAAAAGCACACACACACACACACACACACACACACAGGACCCTGATCTCACACTCTTTACAATACTGTTTCATGTTTCACAGTTACACAACGGGTCCATTACAGGGTTTCAAAGGATTCGGCTTCAGACCTGGACTCAGATTCGATAAAATGCATCCAACCCCAGCCACACTTAACAGCCAGGGATGGGCTACACACACAGACACACACTCAGACACACTTCGCCAACTCTTTTCATGGAGGAACAACATCCTCAGTATTTTCTCTACCTGACGTTTCGGTCCTGACAGGCAATGGTGACATGTGTTCTTGATGAGTCCAGGTCCATGTCGTACAGTGTCGTCTTCTCCACCACATGATGACTCCTGGAGAACGACAATCCCTCCGCCGTCTGGAGCACAGCAAACAAGAAGACGCCATGATTCATCCACAAGGAATCATGGGACACAGAGAGAGTATTTACCAGCAGCTTGTTCAATTTGAATGTGAATAAAGCTCGAACAGAACCATTTCATTTTACTAGAGCGTGTGCTCAGACTGACCTGCTCAGCTGTCTGGAAGTAGATGCTCTTGTCAGCTCCACAGCTGACCATTCGAACCTCTGGACTCTCACCTGGAAAGCAGGTAACACAGCTAACTCTACTTCTCTCTACAGGTCAAGTCCACCAGCTTCAAGGCAAGTTATGGATATAACACATTCATACACAAAGGCAACGTGCTCGACACAGTGCACACAATGCAAATTGAAAGTAGAGGTGCACTGACTGCCGTTTTCTGACATCATACACAGACATCTTTGTAACCCTTCTTTAATCAAAAATGAAGTTGTAATAAAAATAAAGTATTAAAGTTTTACACGTCCATCTTTCTCTCACTCTTTTTATTACAAACCTCCAACTAAAAATGAAGTGCAATATTTGTACTTGTCCAAACAGAGCCAGGTGTGAAGGCTAACAGAAACAGAGCAGTGTGTTACTGCTGAGCCACAGCTTGTATTGGCAGTGTTTTACCACAGGCTGGAGTTGGTCTGTAGCTCCTCTGTGCACTGTTTGTAAACCAAGCGCGCCAATGAACATGTGACCAGTACAGACACGAGCGCGAACCTCACTTGACGTGCACAGAAGAGTCAGACTGTTTAACGATCAGCCAACACTGATGACAGACACTGCCTCTTAAATTCCTAATCACAAGGAATAATGACCAAGGGAGGTTTCATGAAGTCCAGTCCCATTTTTTTAGGGTATAAAAGCAATCGTTAGCTGCAGCCCTGCATTTTTAGTCAGGCACCGACTAGTGCTTACCATTTAAAACACGGAACTGGGGTAGTAGTGTTTAGGGCTCCACCCTTTCTATTTATTCAAATTAAAACCTGTTCTAGATGGAGAACAGTCTCGGTGCCGTGCGGCAGTGCTACCTGTGAACTTGACAGCAGTGATGGAGGCGGAGTGGTCATTCAGCGTCTGGACCAGACCATAGTTCTTCTCTAGGTTGAAGACGTGGATTAGTCGATCCCTGCTGGCCGATGCCAGCAGCCTCACACCTGAACCAACAACAACAACAACAGTCTGATTACGCAGGTGTTGCACCTGCATGCACACAGGAAATGTACAGAGACAACTGCATGTCTGCATCAGAAGCTGTTCTATGTAAATGGTAGCTATGGAGTTCTCCAGGTTTTTAATGGGTTTCAATAGACCACATATCACAACCTGGCCTCCCATCCGTTTTAGAACAGATTTTTAAATTTATTCAAGTGGTGCTACAGTGCTAACAAGCTAGTCCATCCATACATTAGCCTCAAATCCTCTGGCAAGTCTTTACTTAATGCTTCCAACTCCAGATTAAAGACAAACGAGGGCTGTGCCTTCTTCAACCAGACCCCCAGAGTTACACATCAGCCTACCAGAGGACCAGAGGCTCACGGACTCTGTACACAGTCTTGTGTCCAAACTATTTTATTGTTTTAAATTTTCCCCACTGGTGCCATTTTCTGTTCCTTTACCTTTCTCCTGTGGGCATCACCGTGACAGTTTCAGCCTCCTAATTTAAAATACTGATTTACATGAGGTTTGCTTGTGCTTCATAAATGTGCAAACAATGATAAATACACTCCAAACTATATTTATAAAAATATGCCACACAAAAATTAAGGTCATTATTGAAGTAAAGAACAAATGGAAACCGGTGCATATCCGTTCTGTACCTGTGGATGGGGGAGAGAACTCCAGACACAACACCTCCGCGTCATGAGCCTCGATCTTCACCAGCTCATCCAGGAAGTCCAGACCAAAGATCCTGAACGCAGACAGACATGTCAGCCGCCTCATCAGACGCCTGTCCGAGGGCGTCACCAATATGTGTGCATGTTTTTGTGAGTCTCACCGCAGGTTTCCACAGCGGTCTCCAGCCGCCAGGTGCTGTCCATCAGGGCTGATAGCCAACACTCGTATCCCAGCCTTCCCATCAGCCCCGGCTGCCTCCCCGTCAGCCTGCAGGTGCTGCATGTTCTCCCCCACATACAAAATCCTCAGCAGGTCCTGAAACATTTTGACACCTCATTTGACTTTTCATGCACTAATTCCACTCATGTGCACTTTCAAAATAAAATGTACTTAATCTAAAGAATACAATTCCATTTCCCAAAATGTCTTGCGCTACCTGCCCATTACTCAAAACATACATAAATAATGAACAGGAATACACAAATACCAGTATTGGGTCCAGTACCACTAGTACAAGTGCTCATTAAAGGTGTCCAGTATTAAGCCCCAACACCACTGATGGCAACATTATGCTGACCTCACGCTGGCTGACCAGGCTGGTGGGTGGAGGAGGTGACACGTCAGCAGCATGATCTCACCTGGGAAAACTTAGCTGAGCAACACTACGGCTTGCTAACATAAGTACTGCTGGCTTGTGTACAAACTCTGTGTGGCAGGAGTCTCTACAGTCCTCTCGACATCAGCTGACAGCGCCACCCGCTCTGACTGTGTCACCAAGGCGTGTATCGTGTAGCCCAAACAGGGTTACCTGTTCACTTCCTGTTTCCGGCTCATGTGAGAAAGGCCTATACAGACGCTGGCTTCACGCATTGGTCTTACATTGCTGTAGAGGTTCCCGTGTCCGGTGGGGGGGTCGGCGTGCCACAGTCTGATGGTGTTATCTGACGAGCAGGTGAAGAAAGAGGACGGAGGCAGAACGGCCTGGGACACATCGGACAGCTCTGGATACACCTGAGGATGAAATGACAGCGTTGTCCGGCAAAGTACACCAGACACCTCTGGAGGAATACTGGTCAAAGCCCAAGTGACAGTACTTCTGGTAGTATGTCTCCTCTTAATCAAGATATTCTGTTAATACTGAAAGTATTTCTGGCAGTACTAGAGGCATTTCTGCCAATATTCGATGTATCTAGTAGACATGGAGGCGTACCTATCTGAATGGGGAACAGCTCCACTATTAGTACCGTAGTTCTGCTAAGATCTGGAGGATTAGCAGTAGCACTTAAAGTACAAATGGTAGAATGCAAGTACTGTATGTCTACTGGTTCTACGGAAAGCATTTCTGGTACTACTACTACTACTACTACTACTACTACTACCACCACTACTATAACTGGAAGTATTTCTGGTCCTGGAAAAAAGTCTGGCATTACTAATGTACATCTGCTAGTGCTTTGTTTTTGTTACCTATGGTAGCATTAGCATAGTAACCTGCAGTGGTAGAAGAAGTACTCAGATCCGTTACTTCAGTAAAAGTAGCAATACAACAGTGTAAACATACTCTGTTACAGGTCCTGCATTCAAAATGGTACTTAAGTAAAAGTAAAAGTATTATTGTATTATAGTGAATGATGCAGTACTGTATACATCACATTTAAAGCTGCAGCTGGTAAAGGTGGAGCTGGTTTTACTGGCTTATATACATTTAATTTGAAGTACTACTGGGCAGCCTGTGAAGTTTCCACCTTAGACCAATGAGGCCTCCTCATTTGTATTAATCTGATTCTAAAAAGTAACTAGTATATAAAGTTATAAATTAAATGTAGTGGAAACAAGTACAATATTTGACTTCACTACATTTTATAGGCAAAGTATGAAGTAAAAGAAAATGAAAATACTCAGATACCTCAAAATTGTACTTAAGTAAATGTACTCAGTTACTTTCCACCACTGGCACCTCAGTGGTATTTCTGTCAGTGTTATTTTTAAATAATGTAAGTTCTAACAGTGTTTTTGTTGCTACTGGCGGCGGTACCACGGGCGGTGCTTTTGACGGTATCTGCGGTACCCCTGACGGTATCTGCGGTACCCCTGGCGGTGCTTTTGACGGTATCTGCGGTACCCCTGACAGTATCTGCGGTACCCCTGACGGTATCTGCGGTACCCCTGACAGTATCTGCGGTACCCCTGACGGTATCTGCAGTACCCCGGGCGGTGCTTTTGACGGTATCTGCTATACTGACCTCAACGCTCCACACACAGCTGCTGTGGTACAGAGCAGAGTACAGCTTCCTCACGTTCCTCACGTCTTTAACGTCCCACACGTACACACTGTGGTCGTTGTACACACAGGTCAGGTGTCGGGCAGTGGGGTCAAAGGTCAGAGCCAATGTGTCGGGGTACTGAACACCTGGACTGGCAGGTAACAGGCTGCTGTGGAAACACATTCAGAAAGTAATCAGAGGACTTCCCTGCGTTATGGGGCCACTGCATACATTTTAATTATGCAAGACTTTTCAGACCTAAACAGAACAAATACCATTTCCACAGCAGGACAAACGCACATTAGCAGCCACTTTTCATTCAAAGAAAATGATCAAACACAGATATGATCCTGTAGCCCATGTGTGCACAGTACCTGGGGAAACATAGTATACTGTATGTGCTTTAAAGCCAAAGTTTACTTAGATGACTGCACAGTCTGTGGGTGTGTCAGTAGAATCGTGTACAGGAGAGGACAGCATGGATGGCTTTGGTAACTGGCAGGGCAACAGACAAGTGTAATCACAAACATTTTTATGAACGTCTGCATTACAGTAGTATTAGCTTTGTCTATTGTTTAATAACTCAGACACAGACCCATTCAATCAGGTCCATCCAACAAAGATTAACAGCGTGTAGTGCAACAGTTCTACAGGGAATCCTCATGATCCTTAAAACGTTCAGCTTTTGTTTCTCTAGACAGATGTTAATTAAATTTTGAGATCTCTTATGAGGCAGTGATTTGATTCTTTACCACCCATGTTGATATAAATAAGGTAAAAAAGATCACAGGAACACAATACCAACCCCACAGCCCCCACGTCCCCAGCAGGTCGGCTTGGTGTGGCCCTAAGCAACCTCTCAAAATTTAAAACATCTCACGAGCGAAAATAAGACTTTTTATTACATTTATTGACCTTAAATGTTTAAAATCAAGTTTAATACTTTGAAGGATCCATGGGAACCCTGTGTTATACCAGTATTTATCCTAAATGTGTGCAGTACTTGTACCCATGCTTTACACTCTGCGTGAGGTCGACTCCCAGGCGGTGCGGTCGGTGCAGGGTGGTGATGTACTGCAGGTTGGAGGGGCTGAACACTCTGATGATCCCGTCAGCACAACCACAGAAGATAAAGTTCGTGCCGACCACCAGACAGCTCGCAGACGGCGTCTGTCAACAACAACAGCAGCAGTCTACTCACAACAAGACTGATTTGTTCAATTAAGTCTGTCCTGTCCCGCTGACAGACAGACAGACTGTCCTGATGACTTTAAAGACACTGAACACACTGCTCATGTCTCACTTTCAGTGTGTTTGCTGCTATATGCATTTCACTGTCCTGCGCTGTGACTGCTATTCTCTCGTGTCCCTACTGAGGGCGTGGCTTGTCCCTGCTCCACACACACACACCCCCACACACACACACACACACACACACACACACACACACACACACACACACACACACAGACATCAACCCCTGGTGAAAACCTGGTAGATATCAGTGCCCTCCCTGACCAGTTAACCTACGTGCACTCTGAAACAGGTGTTTGTTAAAATCACAAGTGTACCAGTTACTCTACAGGTGTATGCAGGTACGCCCCTCACTGACCTTCAGGTTCACCCAGGCCTCCAGCTGACGGCTGCTGTTGAACAGACACAGCAACCCGGAGCTGGTGATGCAGTAGGTGCTGGATGCCATGAGGCCACGCCCACATGCCACCCCGCTGAACACACTGTTCTTATGGTCGCCTAGCAACCCAGACCGACCAATCAGAGGCACCGTGCTGTTCACCTGGAGACAGGAAGAAAATACAAGAAAGACATAGACAATCTCATATGGAAATCTCATATCAGATATGTTCAGCATAAAATAGCTAAAAATATATCAATATTGGCAAAGGGTTAGATATATGCTGGACGTGAAAGCACTACGCATTTTGTATTCTTCATTGATTTTACCATACTTAGAGTATGGCGTTGAAAACTGGGGAAACACATACAAAAGCTCACTTCAACCATTGTATATATTACAAAAAAGAGCGATAAGAATTGTGCATAAGATGGG